TGACCTGTTCTGTGTAAAGCAAGCTGCAGATATAGCATCAGCCCAGAAATATAAAGGTAAAGAAGCAAAACTTAGCATGGTTCGAGCTGCTTCACACAAGGATCGGTTCCGCCTCTCAACTATACCGTTTTGTTGAGGTGTGTAGGGAGCTGAGAAGTTGTGGGTAGTTCCTCTTTCCGCCAGGAATTCTTCGAATTCTTTATTTTTGAACTCCAGGCCATTGTCACTCCTGATGTTCCGAACGACTTTCTTCAGTTGTACTTCCACCTGCTTGATGAACATCTTTAGCTTGTGAGTCGCTTCAGATTTAAGCTTTAGAAAGAACACCCATGTAAAACGTGAAAAGTCATCAACAATAACAAGAATGTACTTGCTACCGCCGATACTTTCAATTGATGAGGGACCACACAAGTCAATGTGAAGTAACTCTAGTGGTTCAACAACTTTTGTGTTTATAATTGATGGATGACTTTGACGACTCTGCTTCCCCATTTCACATGCCGCACACAAATGTTCTCTATCGTACTTGAGCAATGGAAGACCACGAACATGACCTCCGGCGACAAGTTTGTTGATGTCCTTGAAGTTGAGATGAGAAAGCCTTCGGTGCCACAACCAGCTTTAATCAGATTGTGCTTTTGATAACAAGCAGATTGATGGATTCCCTTTGATTGGTTTGAGATTTAGGGGAAACATTTCACCTTTGCGCTCTGATTTGAAAATAACTTTGTTCGTTTGCTTCTCAATAATTTCCGAACCCTCATCATCGAATGAGACCTTGAGACCGGTACCTCCAACAAGCTGAGATACACTGATGATATTATGTTGTAGTCCTTCTACATATGCAACCTTCCTGATTGTGAAATCACCGTTTGTAATCATCCCATAGCCTTTTATGGTTCCGAAGGAGTTGTTCCCGAACTTGACATTTCCACCGTTTGAAAGAGATCTGAATTCCCTAAGCTCTTCCTTCCTCCCTGTCATGTGACGTGAGCAGCCACTGTTAATATACCATTCTTCATCGAAGTGTTCGTCACTGATAACCTGCACAAATTAAACAGATTTAGGAACCCAAAGTTTCTTGGGTCCACGTGAGCCTTTCACAGGAACAGGAGCAGAAAAAGAGATGTCAACAAAATATGTTCTTTTTATCAAAGTTGTTTCATCTTTCTTTTTGATGGTGTAAACCTTAATCTTTGTAGGATTTAGTGCTTTTGGTTTGGTCTCTGATTTAACTGACGAAACCTTTGATTTCCCTTTCAGGTCAGTTGGAGATTTAGAATGAGATTGAGAAGAAGAATGATTGGAAGAATTAGAATGCGAGAATTTAGACTAAGATGATTTCTTGACTTGATATTCTAAGTGACTCTTTCGGTTTTGATTATCAGTGGAACCGAACCTAGAATTTTGGTCTCTTTTGCTCTCAGAACCGAACTCCTGCTTTCGGTTGATACTGTTCTCTGAGCCGAACTTTTGCTTTCGGTTGATACTGTTTTCTGAACCGAACTTCTGCTTTCGGTTGATACTCTTTTCTGAACCGAACTTCTGCTTTCGGTTGATCCTGTGCTCTGAACCGAACTTCAGCTTTCGGTTGATACTGTCCTTTGAACCGAACTTCTGCTTTCGGTTGATACTATGCTCTGAACCGAACTTCAGCTTTCGGTTGATACTGTCATTTGAACCGAACTTCTGCTTTCGGTTGTTATTTCTCTCTTGAGATCCAACAGTATTTTTCTCTGACTTTAAATTTTTGTCACGATATGAGAAATAGGCATTTTGAGATTGCCAAAACTGTTTTCTTTCAGAAAGATTCTTCTTGTATCTCTGATTCCTTTGTCGTTTTTGATTTCTCATCTGTTTCGGCTGATGATGAATATTCGCCTTTTGATTTTGACTGGTGTCAACAAGTCCACTTTGAACCAATGATGATTCACTTGAATCTGCCTTATCTTTAGGAACATCTTTTGTACCACTAGAACTCGGCACGTCAAAGTTATCAGGTTTGTTAACTGGCTCAGGAATGTATCTTCCTTTTGCTTTCCAGGATGTTTGCTCTGATAGACCAACAATTTCATCAGCATTGTCAATACGAGCCGACCAGAAGAACTCATCACAACCATCAGCATTCTCTTCGTTTACAATGGCTGTGAGTTCGGCTGTCTGATGTTCGGTTACACCTGTGACCTTATACACCTGATTTGGTTCTGTCCTTATCTTTTGGTAAACAACAGCTTTTTCTTCAAGTTTCGGGGACTTTTGTTGGGACAAGCGAGCGAACTCCACATAATTTTCTGAGATGAGATTTTTGTGGATTTCAGGTTCACTTTTGAGAAATTCAGAGCAGTCAACTTTGTCCTCTACAGAAATTTCACTCATGTCATTATCCTCATTAAGCTCAGATGCATTTTCAACATCAATTTTATTTTCTGAGCTCAAATTGGCATTCAATGAGTCAAATTTTTGTATGGTTTCGGTCCTTAGATTCAGTTTGTCATTTTCATCCAAAAGGTTTTTCAGCATGTTCTTATGGTCTTTGGACTTAATGAAAGATTCAATTTTGTCTAGACCATACATATACGTTGGATTAACATCCTTAGACGAAACCACACTTTCACAATTGTATGCTTCAGCGTCGATTTCATCCTCCTTAAACTCAAGAAAAGGCAAGATCATACGATGAATTTTCTGCCCTATTTCACAGTTCAAATGAAGTTGAGTGATATTATTGTAAAGACGCTTAGCAATCAAACAAAAAACATTTCGCTGTTTCAAAAGTTTTAAATTGTCTCTTTGCAAATAAATGTTTTCGTCCTTGGTTTTGACTAACTCCGACTCTTTCAGTTCGATCCACATCCTCCGTTCCTCACTCTTCGACGACACCCTGCTTATTTGGTCAGTTAGGTTAGAATTGGTGACTCGAGTTTGAGTTAAGCTGCTGTCTAGATGAGAAATTCTTGAATTAACATTTTTTTAATTCTTTTTCATATGAGCATTGTGGGACTTTAAATGAAATAAACACGGATTGTACCTTCTTGATTAGTTCATTAAGCTCGTTGAATTGCACGCTGAGCGGTTTTGCTGTAAAGAACATGTCCTATTGCTCCTTCGGGTCTTTGTTCCCACCATCTGTGTTATATCCCCTCATTTGAGATACATCAGACACCATCAAGCATCTTCCACTGTTGTCCTTCTCTTTCGCCACATAAGCTTTTCCATGAGAAGGCTTCCTTACTTCATCATCCTCGGAGTCGGTTGACTAGACCTCCACTCCTCCGAATTCATCATTTGCTGTCGAACCCTGCACAATTAAAGCATTCATAGACGATTTAGCAGTAGATTTCTTCTTCCCGATCTCATCCAGCTTTTTCAGTAACAATGCTTCTTCATCTTTTTCCTCATCCTTTTCAGCCATTTTCTTGAGGACACAATCTTTAGCATAGTGATTCTTTCCTCCACAGTAAAAGCAGCTCACTCCCAAATCTCCTTCAGCTTTCGGTTCCTTCTTTGATTCTTCTGCTTTCGGTTCTTCTTTGACCTTTTCAGAGCTATAACTTCTTTGCCAATTACGGTTCTTATTGGTGGGAAATCTTTTCTTGATGAACCTCTTGGGATTTGATACCATCATAGCATAATCTTCAGAAGTAAGATCATAATCTTCTAAGTTGAGGTCTTCATCTTCCATCGCCGCTTTACTTTTGGATAGTGCCATGGAACCCAGGCTAGAAACTACATTTTTCTCCTGTAGTACGATCTTCTCTTGAGATTTCAGTATGCCCACCAGTTTCGCTAGAGAATAAGATTTGAATTGCTCATGCACTTTAAATGTGGACACAACAGCTCTCCACTCAGATCTGAGGCCGTTCAGAAACGTGACTTTCTGCTCAATCAACTTCCTTTCAATATCATGTTTAATCATCTTGCTAAGAAGATGATTGAAGTGATCGAACGTTTGAGTCACAGTTTCTTCGACTCTCTGCTTGAATTCACCAAACTCGGATTAGAGTAAGGTTTGAATGGAGTGTTCAAGATCTTCGTCCGTAGAATACAATTCGTGAAGCCTGTCCCATATTTCTTTGGCAGTAGTGCACGAACTCACCAGCCTGAAAGTGTCAGATTGAAGAGCGAATCTGATTAATCTCAATGCTTTAATATTGCACTGAAATTTATCTTTTTCGTCTTGGGCAACATCTTTAACATCTTTCAAAAGATCATTATACTCCTTTTGAGTTTTAATAATCCTTGAAGTTGCAGAATGAGCAAAGGGTCCCGAAACGATTGCTTCCCAGATGAGGTATCCATTGTCCTCAGATCCTATAACATAGTCTTCAAAGTGATTTGCCCAGACTTCATAATCTTGGGTGTAAAGGATGGGAATCTTCGTTGTTGATCCAATGTTGTTCGAAATATTAATGGGATTAGATGGCGACTCGTCCATGCTTGATCGAATAACCTGTTTGAAAGATCAGACTTGTAATATATAATATTAGGGCAAAACGAACAAGTAATGAGATACGTCAATTATGGGGTGACGGCTCAATAAATATTAGTTAATGCGGAACAAACCCTAATAGCTTCTTTCACAGAAGAGATGTGTATGAATTACACAGCCTCCTGCTCTGATACCAATTGATGAGATAAAAATCTTTAAGATCGATTAGATCTTTGAAACAGGTATATAAAGAATGTAAAGAAATACTCAAGAATGGATTTGAATATGTCGAATGATTAAAACTTTCAATCTTCAGCAGAGCTCGATGAAGAACTTCCACTGTAGAGGATCCTAGGGTTACAAAAAGATAACTTGTATAATTACACCGTAAAACCCTGATCTATCGGTTACGTAAAAGATGCATGCAAGCATCTATAAATACACAAACCCTAGAAAATAAGATACGGATGGACAGGCCCATACCGCATAAAGGATGGGCTAGGAAGCGAGCCCAAGACGCAACACCAATAACCCAACAAAAACACTTACATATAGTGTTAGAAAAACTTCCATGACAAAGCCCCTGAATGCAGCTCTAATGGGTTCGCCGGTGGTTGAACAAATCGCAAGGAAGGGAGATCTAATCTCCGACAGGCTTCCCTTGGTTCACTATCTTCGTCTCTGTCATCCACTAATCGTGGAAAGGAAAGGAACAGAGGTAGCAGTGTTGTCATCAAGTGGCAGCGAAGGCTGCTCCTTCTGCTATCCGACAACAATCACGCGGGGAGGGAAAGTCTTCGATCCTCTATTGATTGGAGAAGAAAGAAAGACAAAAACAGTCAGAAAATGGCCGGTGACTCTTAATCGATTGCAAGGAAGGGTTGCAATCGGCGGTGGGAAGTCGCTGATTTTCTTCTCTTTAGTGGGGATGCAGGCAAATCAGGAGCAATCCCTAGGGGGGTGTCTCTTGGCATCTTAAATGAAGGTAACAGCCTCCTCATTTTGATTTCATTCTCCCAGTAGGTGAAAAAGAAGCGTAGGAAATATAAGAGAGGATATAAGATAGATATATATATATATATATAATATATATAT